AACTTTGTTGCAGTGCAGCCTGCATTCCTGTGCACAGAAACAAAACAGCACCCTTGCATTAATATTCTTGCTATTTTACTGTTTTGTTGTGTCCATTTGCTTGAATGCTGAGCACTCTTCTGTTATAAAAAATATGTGTAGAAAAGCATATCTAGATGGCAACATTTTTTTTAAAAGAAAGCAGTGAGAGCTATCTACAGCAAGACTTTCCTTCCCAAATGCTCTCACAAGGACATGGCAGTAACATATTTATGTTTTAAAAGAACAGTATTTTCTCTGTTCTCTCTTATAAGTTAACCAAACTGTGCCCCATGGGCTACATGCAATCCTGAGATAATTTTTGCCATCCTGCTAAACATGTCAACCCTGCAATTCCACCCCCCCAAACACCCCCACACATATTTGGGTGAAATTTGTACATGGTGAATTTGGTAACCACACACATAAACAACAATAACAAAATCCACTTTTATAGACCTCCAGGAATGACAATTTGGTGCTAAAATGGACCACAGCCCCTTTCCCTTTTTAAAAATTAAAATGGAAACACGCCTTCAACCACTTTCAGTTTTATCTTCAGTGTGTCTAGGCTTGCTGCAGCCCATGGTAGGTTCTGGAGGCAGGAAAACTGATCTCTGGACTGGTGCAAGTTGTCCATCCCTGATCAATTGCATACAAAATAGATATTGTATTGCATTTACTGAAAGTGAATGAAATTCAGTTCTGATGAATGCTGTCACACAGGAAAGCTCTTTGTTATCCAGTCATTGGTAACATGGATTTTCCAAAGGCAGTTGAAAAAATTCCTGGCTGTGATCTCTAGGAATGATGAACAGTCAGATCATAATATGGATTGAGAATACTGGGTAAAAAATAGGGAACAGAAAATATTAATAAAATGGCAGTATTTACATAAAGTAGACAGCAAGTCTCCAAAGACTTGTACTGAAAAGAACAGTACTGTTGGTTCTCTGTATCCATGGATTCTTTAACCATGGATTCAATAATGCACGATTTGAAAAATATTTTAAAAATAGATAAATTCTAAAAAAAAGCAAACCTTGATTTTGCCATTTTATATATGAGACACCATTTTACAATGCTATTGTATTTAATGGGACTTGAGCATCCATGGATTTTGGTACCCACAGCATACCAAGGGCCCATTGTACTATTTGATTTACTCATAAATGGATGGGTGAAAAATGAAAAGTAAAACATAGCTTAAGTTAGCAAATGGTAGAACATTATTCAGTATGGAGAAAGCTGGAAAATACTCCAACTGAATATCTGTCTAGCAATGGTGGCAAACCTCTGGCACACGTGCCAGAGGTGGCACTCAGAGGCCTCTTTGTGGAGAGACACACTGTTCCCCAGCACAGAGTTCACCAAAGTTTGTTACTAGAAAGCCTGAGGGACATGGCACTTTGCAATAAATAAATGGGTTCTGGATTGCAGTTAGGGCACTCACATCTCTAAAGGTTTGCCATCACTGGATTAGAGTCTGAGCAACAGCATGAGAAATGTGGTTCAGTGTAAATATCCCATAGCACGATATGAAGCAGTATATAAATGAAGCTGCTTTTAAACAAGTGTCACTCATTCATTTTTAATGCATTTTTCCTTATAGGGAGATAAATAAGTCAAACATGCTAATCAGGTCAATTCAACATGTGTACAGCTTACTTCAACAGTTACTAAGGGTTTGTTCTGATCTTTTTGGCAGCCACACAAATAAAACTACTAAATGAGTTACACAAGGATCCATATCAGCAAATACTTTGCTCTTTCATTCAACTAAAGCGATCAGAGTGCATCTATGTAGAAATAATGCAGTTTAATGCCACTTTAAGTACTATAGCTCCATCCTGTGGAACCCTGGGATTTATAGTTTTACAGTGGGCCTTTGATTTCCAATGAGGTTTGGTTCCCGGACCCCACGCTGCTGCTGTGGATACTAAAATCCATGGATACTCAAGTCCCATTAAATATATATAATGGTGCCCCTTACAGAATGGCAAAATCAAGGTTTGCTAAATATATAAGGCAGGGGTAGGCAACCTTTCCCCTTTAAGAGCCAAGAGACTTCAGCTCCTAGAATCCCAGGAGCTATTGGCCAACATGGGACTACTGACCAACATGGCTGAGGCTTCTGGGAGCTGAAGTCCCTCAGCCCTTAAAGGGGAAAGGTTGCCTACCCCTGATATAAGGTCTTTAGCCTTCTCTGCCAAACAGTGCTGGTGCCTCACAAGACTACAATTCCCAGGATTCTGCAGAATGGAGTTATGGCAGTGGTGTCAAACTGCAATATTTCTATAGTGTTGGTGCAACCTTATAGATATTCCTTCCAAGACAAGATTATGGGAAAGATACTCTCTTATAACATATATACACATCTTGACAAAATGCAGGCTTAGGACTATGAGAGAGAGAAACTTGCAGGGGTAGGCAACCTTTCCCCTTTAAGGGCCGAGGGACTTCAGCTCCCAGAAGCCTCAGCAACTTGGCCAATAGTCCCATGTTGGTTAATATCTCCTGGGATTCTGGGAGCTGAAAGGTTGCCTACCTCTGGACGAGAGTGAATGAATGAATGGCTCGCAGTGATCCTCAAACTGTCCCCTTTAAGAGATTTTGGACTTCAGCTCCCAGAAACCCAGACTATTGGCCAGCATGGCTGAGGCTTCTGGGAGCTGAAGTCCAAAATCCCTTAAAAGGGGCAGCCTTCCATCCTGCTGGCTCAGATCGTAAGGCAAGCATTGAGTCCAGTAAGTAGAAAGCCCTTTTAAGAAATCCAAGCCTATAGTGTTCACAGCAAAGGCTATAGTCAGGTTGGGCCAAGAATGGTGTGTCTGTGCAGTTACCATTCATTCATTCACTCTCCTCGCTCTCTCCCCTTGTTGTGGTCTATGGGTGAAAATCATTGGCGCTTTTGTGGGATGCACACGATTTGGCTTTGATCATTATCGGGATGGAGGCACATTTGGTCCTTGTCGTGTGAAAACCATCCCCGCATTTGCGTGCAAGTGCAGGTTAAGCTTGGATTCTGCATGGGATGACAGCGCTTTGCTTGTGAAAACCATTTGCGCAATTGTGAGTTAATCTCGAGTTCTTACCCTTTTAAACTTCCAATTTTTTTCCCTGTGTGATCAAGTCCTGGAAGAACTAGGAGATGCCCTGGGCAAGTCACACTCTCTCAGCCAAGGCAAACCCCCTCCGAACAAATTCCTGCCTTCCTTAATTCCCTACGGCTTCTTTAGAGTTTCCATGGAAACAAAGGAAGCCTGCTAAGGAAGAAAGAGATGGAATAGAGGTAGATTGTCCTGCCTGGGAGAACTAGGAGGTGCCTTGGGCAAGTCACACTCTCTCAGCCTCAGAGGACGGCCAAGGAAAAACCCCTCTGCCTGCCTCTGTTCCATCTCTTTCTTCCTTAACAGCCTTTGTTTGTTTTGATGGAAAGTCAAAAGAACAAATTCCTGTCTTCCCTAATTCCCTACATACAGCTTCTTCAGACTTTCCATCAAAATAAAAAGAAAGCCTGCTAAGGAAGAAAGAGATGGAACAGAAGCAGGCTGCCCTGACTGGGAGAACTAGGAGGTGCCCTGGGCAAGTCACACTCTCTCAGCCTCAGAAGGAGGCAAGGGCAAATCCCCTCTGAACACATTCCTGCCTTCAGTGATTTCCTACAGCTTCTTTTGACTTTCTATCAAAACAAAGGCTGAGAACTAGGAGGCGCCCTGGGTAAGTCACACTCTCTCAGCCTCAGAGGATGGCCTTGGCAAACCCGTTCTGAGCAAATCTTGCCAAGAAAAGCCCTGCGATATAGTCGGGAAGGAAAGGACCAAAAGGGATGCTCCTCTTGAGAGCCAGGCTGCCTCCATCCTTTGCGAAGCTGCGAGCTCCTCTGCTAAAATAAGAAACAAAGCTCAGCCGCACCTGGCTGCCTTGCACACTGCACCAGCAATCCGCTTTGAGATCGCTTTAAGAGCCTTGGCTCAGTGGGATCCTGGGGATAATGATCCCTGGCAAGTTTGCAGCCGCAAGGCGGAGCTCAAGGCTGATGCAAGCCGGTTGTGTGTTGCAGGAGCCTCGGGAGGGATGGCCTGGGTGTGTGAGTGTGAGTGTGTGTGTGTTGCACACACAAACGACTTCCGTTGTGCTTTCTTCCCTTCTACTTTCTCTTTCAAGCCAGCAAGACCAACGTGGGCTGGAAAAGCTCTGCTTTGGTGCATTGCAAACTCCTGGGCTGTTTTGGAAACATTTTT